TAACAAAGTACTACTTCCTGAGAAGACAACTGATCATATTATTTGGTATTTTCAAAGTTAAACTACTCAACACCTTAAAGTCCTAAGTACATGCTAAGAAAGTTGATGTTATCACTGTATTCTTACTTTCTTGGTCAAATCTGGTGTTAAATAGTTGAGAGCGGGGAAAGGAGGCTATGGTATTTCTGTTGTTGCTCAATAAATGGTAACTTCTCTGGAGCATCAACTGCCTCATCTGTAAAGTTAGTACTACTAATAAAGCAAACAATTCCGGAATAAAACATTTGCTCTTCTTCAAAGAATAGTCAGGTGTGGTGGTACTTGGATGGTGGAGGTAAGGAGGAACCGTTTTTTAAGGTCACTGTGTTCTAGATTAGCATGGGCTACATGAGACTCTGTCAAAAAAAAAAAAAAAAGATGAAAACAAAAATGACTTACATCTTTAAAAGGAATACTATCAACAAGAATACATTCAATACAAAATTTAAGTTTCATTACATCAGACTTAAGTTTGCATAATTACTCTTAAAATAACCAAAGATAAATATTTTACATTTTGTAGATGAAAGGCAACATCAGAGCTATTAACCAGTTATGATGTAACCAAATTTAAGAATGAAAACTGGGCTGGGATATATAGCCTGGTGTTACAATGCTGGCCTAGAATGCTCAATGAGGCTCTGGGCCTCAAAAAAAAAAAAAAAAAAAAAAAAAAAGGAAACCCAGTATGAACATACACACCCCTACAAAAAAACAAAACCAGGCAACCAGCCCAACAAGTTAGTTGGCCTGTGGGTCTCCATCCCTAATCTCCAAAGTAGGAATAAATAAAAATTTATCTTACAGGATTAATTTTACTTTCTAGACATGATTTAGTATTTTTTCATATACATTTCTAGACCAAAAAGTTTGACTTGGAAACAAAATGACATTGTGTGTCAGATAAGAGCCAATACATTCTATTCTAAGTAGGTATAGAAGGAAAATAGGCCATGACAGTTACTGAAGCAGGGAGATGAGAACATAAAACTTTTAAGACTACTCTTTAGTGTGTGAAACAGTGGTGTACTTACTGGTCAACTCATTCCCTAGGGTTGACAAAAGGGGACTGACATGATTGGTTGCAGTTACCAGTTTCCAAGTTACAAATACTACTACAGTGTCCAATTTGTTGTATCCACTGAAGGCAGAATTGGAAAGATGTGCAAAATCAGCACCCAAACTACTGAAAAAGTTTTCTACACTAAAGTTTTTAAATTTGGTTAAAAAAAATAATAAGCCTGGGGTTGAGACAATGGCTCAGTCATAAAGTGCTTTCTGTGCAACCATAAGGACCTGAGTTTGGATTCCCCAGCACCTGCGTAGAAAGTGCTGAGGAGGCAGAGACAGGAAGAACCTTGAGGCCTGCTGGCCAGTCAGTCTAACCAACTGGTGATCTCCAGTTTCAGTGACTGCCTCACAAAGTAAGGTGAAGTGATTGAGGGAGACCCTTAAAAGTCAACTCTGGCCTCCACAAACATGCACACATACCCACATAACATGCTCAAAAACACATGTATATAGTAAACCCAATATGAGGTAAAATAAAAACATCATAGCACATAATTTTAAAATCAAGACATAATGCTTGTGTTTACCAGCTAGTCTTTACCCCCTCCCCCCGAATCCCACCCAATCTAATTTAAGAAGCAATCACATATTCGATAAGCTTCATCTTAGTTTTATCACTATTTGTGCATCTGAAAAGTGAAAGTCTCCCATCCATGCCTTGGGAAGAACTATGTATCTTTAAGCCATTAATACCAATTTGTTCACTGTACTTGGCTTATTATTCTGAAATTTATCATTCTATCTACAAAACCTTAATAGTTTTAAGACCCATACTGTGGTGCTTTTTTCAATAAAATTTACTAATCCTATTAAGTAGGATATTCAATACTAAAAACAAACACAAAAATTTACACAGGTTTCTCTTAGATCTCTTTAAATCACTGAAACTTAAAATTCTTTTATTCAATTTTATTCTCATTTACTCAGTGTGGAAAATGTCTGGATTAGGGAAGAAAAATTAACTTCATGTTTCACATTAACTATAAAATGCCAGAATCAAATCACATACAAAATCATTTTGAATTAGCCAATATATATTATTCCAAGAGAAATCCTAGATCTATAGTCACTTTTAGTAAATGTTTAAGCACCCGTTTTATCTTTAAATGCAATTTTAAGAGCAAACAGGGGAAAGAAAATATATACCTCTAAAAATATTTTTAGCATGGTCTTACTAAAATTAAAAATACCATGCAACAAAGTGACAGCAAAAGTATTTGTGAAAATGGACTGTAGTCAAAGGTCTGTTAGGGTTGAAATTGGCTCGCTAATTTACTGTGACTTCAGGCAACTTGATTTACTTCTCTAAATTCATTATCTCATTTGTGAAATAGATAATGCATATAAAGCACTTAGTGCTTAACATATAAGCGCCCACTGTCAGCTATTTATATTGTTGTAAAGAAAATCTAATGTAGTATTGGCAAAATATCTAAACATTGAATAGCAAAGAAGTCAAAATTCAGACTCAGAAATCTTTTAGTGTCAATGAATACAAAGTTTTGAAGCTAAAAAGAGAACCTAGTAACATACAAGTTAGTATGAATCCTCAGTAAACTCTTCCTAGAAAAAATATATTCATTTGTCATATTCTTCCCAGGTCCTGTACCTACAAAAAATTATTTTACTTTCTTCTGAACAACTGGTGTTTATCTTACCAATACAATTATGATTTCCCAGAACTGGTGAAAGATGTTAAAGAACTATACAGTATTAGTACCCAATATTTGGTCCCTCTCATCATATAATTTAATGTAGCTTTTGAAAAAGCATAAAATATCCAGCTGTATTTTTTTTTTTTTTGGTTTGTTCTTGTTAAACAAATACAAGTTAGTCTATTTCAGTTGCAATTTTATTTTTATAAAACTTCGCAGTTATGAACATGGAAATTTTAAGACTTTCCTAAGCCTTTTACAAGTAAATTTCAAGTTCACTGTCTATTAATATTGAATTATTTGTAATTAACAGGAGACCATAACACACTTATCTCAGACAAAAGGGAATTCTGCAAGCAGGTAGCAATAAGAATGCCGAACCTGATCAGTCACCTATTGCTTCTTTACACAGTCTGAGTAAAAGACATGACTCCAGAATTAAATAAAAGTAAATAGAAAATTTACCTTCCCCAAACATAACTCCATCTTATACAAGACTTTCAAAGTTTAAAACATCAATAAAAATAAATGAATTCAGGGAATTAGTTTTTGCTTTCCTATCAAAAAAAAAAGCATATATAATTTTAAGTTAGAAAAAAAATTGACAATTTCAAGCAAAAGAAAAGCAGGTTCACATTCTATTATTTACATGTTTTCTATTCACAGGTCAAAATTAAAATGTTTCACTGGCTAATTAAAAATAAACACTTTTTTTTAAAAAAATGCATTTTAATGCATTAATACTGTGGAAAGGAAATGAACTTAGAAATAACCTCTAAAGCAAGGTTAGCTTAACTTTTCGGGGGCCAACTGGCCGATCATTGAGATCTTTAATAGCAGCCATGGCTTCATTATAGTTTATTATAGCAACAATAGCCTCCCCTGTAGGTAATCCTTGCTCGTTATACTGTATTGAAATTGAATCAGGTATGATTCTATAACCATGGAAAAAGTCTAAAATTTCATTAACATTAGCTTTAAATGGAAGATTCATGATCTTAATAGGAGTTATTCTACCTGAACCACAATTTAATTTTGGATCAAGCATAAATCTCCCCTCAGAAAAACCTCCCATGTTCTGCTTTCCAAAATCAAGCTTGCCACCCTCTGGGCGACCAAAATTCACAAAAGGATGGTGACCTCTAAAATCATCAAGTGGGCTCCTAAAATCCTCGCCAGGTCTCAAATTGCCAGGAAGTCTAAGGTCTTCGTCGGAAACCTCCCTGAGGTCTTCCTCAGGGGGCTGCCTGAAATCTTCATCAGTAGGGCAACTCAAATCATCTTCCTGGGAGCCCCTGAAGTCCTCATCAGGAGGGTGCCTAAAGTCTTCATCTGCCACGTGCCTGAAATCTTCCTCTCGGGAATGCCTGAAATGCTCCTGAGGTGGCCTTCTGAAGTGTTCCTGGGGTGGCCTCCTGAAGTGCTCCTGGGGTGGCCTCCTGAAGTGCTCCTGGGGTGGCCTCCTGAAGTGCTCCAGAGGAGACCTCCTGAAGTGCTCCGGAGACCTGAAGTGCTCCAGAGGAGGCCTCCTGAAGTGCTCCTGGGGTTGCCGCCTGAAATGCTCCTGAGATGGCCGTCTGAAGTCCTCCTCAGGGGAACGCCTGAAATCCTCCTCGGGGAGCACCCTGAAGTCCTCTTCTCTAGGGTGCCTGAAGTCATCCTCCCGAGGGTGTCTGAAATCCTCTTCTGGTGGTTGCCGGAAGTCTTTTTCACGGGGTTCCCTGAAATCACCTTCAGGTAGCCACCTCCAGGCCTCCTCAAGAGGCCTTCTCCAGTCTTCCTCCAGAGGCCGCCTGAAGTGTTCTTCCCGAGGGTGCCTGAAGTGGTCAGGGGAGTACCTGAAGTCCTCTGGAGGGAACCTGAAGTCCTCTGGAGAGTGCCGGAAGTCTTCTGGAGGGTGCCTGTCATACTGCCGGAGATATCCTTGCTTGAAATTACCCATTTGCCTCAAGTCTTCTAGCTGGTCTCTAAGGTTCTCAGATGAGCCAAATGAATATACTGGTGGCTCTTTTGAGTCAAACAGATGAGAATGATCATCTCTGTCACGTGACTGGGAACGAGCTTGAATTTTCTCAGTGGACATCAAGGAAAAATTTACACCAAACTCCTGCATCTGTACCTCAGATATAAGTCTTAATAGTACCTCCGTCCCTAAGAATCTTCGTCGGTTCAAACGTTCAGCTTTCAGGGCTTGTTCTTCTGATTTAAATTTCACCAGTGCTTCTCCCAAACCAACTCCCTTGTCATCATAAAGCAAATAAATGTCATCCTCAGCAAGGGGAAAGTCTGCAAAGAACTTCTGCACTTCAACTTTTGTAACATCAAATGGAAAGTTTCTTATGTATATGCATAGCTTCTGGCCAGAGTAGCCTTCTTGAGAGTACCTTTGTGAAACATGTCCAGGCCTTTCTTTCTCTACTGACCCTGGTCTCTTCTTTTCATAACATTCAATGAATCTCAGCATTTGTTTTCTAGAAATTGGATCAATAAGAACTGGACGATACTGTAAAACAGTTTTATGCAAACCCAGTGCCGTATTATAGTCTTTCAGAGTCTTGAACATCACAAAGGCATATCGTGTTCTTCTTTCATCTTTATATAAAAACTTAATCTGTTCATTACTCAGATCAGTATCTCTAAAGAAATTTCTTAAATCTCTTTTGTTAATACTTAGGGACAGATTTTTTAAGTGAACATAAAATCCGAGAGGGGATCGAGAACGTGTTTTTCTAGGAGATTTTGAATGAGATTGCTTTCGGAAATGTCTATCATTAATTCCTCTTGGAGGAGAACGTTCTTCAGATCTCACAGGAGGACTGTCACCCTCCAAAGCTGCACTACCACCAAGCTCAATCCACTGTTGTTCTGAGCCCTGCATTACTTCTATAAATCTTGAACCCATAAAACTTCTATGGCATTTAAGACCTCCTGAAGCATCAATACATGAAGCAAATTTTACTATGGCATCACCATTATTTCGGCCATCATGATGTTTTAAGAAAATTACTCCATCCACACACAAACCAGAGAAAAAGACACGTACATCATCTTCATTTACTAAGTAAGGCAAACCTCGTAGAAACAGGTAAGGATTTTCAGCCTTCAATGGCCTGGTCTTTCTTGGTCTTAAATCAAGTCCTGTACCATTAGCATGAAACCCAGCATCTTGATTAACTGAAGAGCCATATCCAAAATTACTTTCATCTTTCTTCATAGCCTCAATAAAATTAGCTAGGGTGCCAACCCCTGATGCCCCAGATCCTGGTCGCCCTCTTCCTACACGAACAGTTCTTTTCATATCTATGGTCTTCTGCATTTCTGCCTTGCTACTAAGAAAAAGCTCTACAGATGAATCCTTGATAAGCCCTCCTGAACGACTTATGGCACGTCTTGCATCTTCATCTGTTGCAAAAATAATAAAAGCCTCCCCAATTTTCCCTCCAATTATATGTACTCCTCCATCAGGAATAGTCAATCCCTTGAAGAAGTGACGAATATCCACTGGCCCCGCAATAAAAGGAAGCCCCAGTAAACGGATGACTACAGCCATGCTGAGCTCAAACCACAGCAATTATGACCTGCAGACAAAAAGGTACACATAATAGCAAATCTTATTTTGCAGTACCTTAGCCCAAACTAGCTTAATAATTACCTGGCTCCTGCCTCTTTCCGCATTAATAAATGGGGCAAGATACTAATTCATAAAAATATCTTATCTAATTCTTAAAGAAAACAAAAACAGTTTCTCCTATATAAACACAAATAAACCAACTGCCTTGAAGAAACATTTCATAGCAGCTATCCTACACTATAGGAACATCAAAAATATCAAATCTTCCTTTGTAAATCTGCCAAATGCTGCTTCACAACAAGACCAAACTGCTTTCAGACTCATCTGGAAACATGGCTCCTACTGGTACATATTTTACCAACCACAATGAATTTGACATATTCAGAAAAGCCATCTATGGTCAGTACGTAATTTCTGCTCATGGTGTTAGGTTGCCTAACACTGCATCATGGGCCAGATATGAGAACAGAAGCAATTGGTACCAAGATGCATTATTCTACTTTATATGATTTTTGTCAAGCTTCTGTGAAAAGCCTTAAACTCTGAATGTCTTACCTTTTCTTTTTATTTCTTGGAGACCTGTTAATTCTGTAAAAGCAACTTAACTGTGGAAAGAAAATGAAATATAATTAATCTTTGAACTCTGTAATTAATCTTAATGCCAGATAAGGATATCCATTTCAAAACTGCCTACCAAGAGTGAAACAATATAAGGAATCACATTCATAGGCATTACAAAATGGTCCTCCTTGCTGAGAGAGGAAATTGACTATACTTCTGCAAAAAGGAAGTATAAAATCTGAATAGACATTTGCACAGTATTAAAAAACTAAAATGTGCTGAAAATTATACTACTTGATTGGAATTAATTGAAGATATGAAAGAAATGTTATGTATTTTGAGTGTACTGATGGTTACATGAGGGTATAAATTTATCAAAGTTCAGTAAATTCTATCCTTAAGGTCTAGGTATGGGCATATAGAAGTCTTATATCTACTAAAAAGAAAAAAAAACCTTATATAAGTAAAATATCAATTTGAAAACAACTATTTTTAAAAAGACTTTCCATCACTTCACCTAATGAAAACCCAAACACCTAGTTCATACTTCTGTCCATCTTCCTTGCCTTTCACACATAAAACAAGTCAAGACAGCAATATTTCAAGATGATATAGTGACTAAACTATCAAAACTTGAAATTCAAGTTATCCGTTTTTAAGCAGTAACTCCAAAACAATGGCTACCATTTGGAGAGTATTTTAAGTTCTGCATTTTCCAAACACAAACAAATTTCATGATTACAATATAATTAGGGCTACTACAGTAGCCTTAAAATCAAAAATCAACACCATCCCAACAGTAAACCATTAAAATTCATCTCAAGCACAAAAGAAAATCTTGATACCAACTTTGAAATGTTATTATACTGATAGCCCTAATCCACTTCAAACAACTCTCCCCTCTGCACTTTAAAGAAACCTTAATAACAATTTAGAGAACTAAAAACACCAAAATTCATTAATTTGGAATACTGGGATTGCCCTTATTAACTAACACAAAAACAAAACACCTTCAAATTAGTGTTTAGGGAAACTTATATGTAGCATTTTCATAGATACCCAAAATAATAACATTTACCAAATAAGTTTCTCAGATGTGCCAATATGCAAATACAACCTTATTCCCTTACATTTAAGTATCACTGCTCACAAACATATTCCTTGAAATCTGAAAGGTTTCTTTTCTTTTATCTCAGAGCTGGAGAGATGGTTCAGCAGTTAAGAGCACTGGCAGAACTTCCAGAAGGCCTGGGTTCAGTTCCCAGCACCCACATGTCAGCTAACAAACTAACTCCAGTTCCAGGGGATCCAATGAGAGGCCCTCTTCTGGTCTCCATGTCCACTGCATGCACAGATGCACTTACACACATGTAGGGAAAACACTTATCCAAATTATTTAATTTTTAAAATGGCCTATAGATTAAACCTACCATTGAGATATACTACTAAAATATCTTTGCATGAGAAAAAAAGGTAAAAGCCTAATTCCAGCAAACCAATATTCATACCCAAAACTTTTACTGAAACCATAGTTCCTGAAATACTTGTCTACATTAAATTCCAAGAGACCTCTGTAAACTGGTTTCGCTACTTTTTAACTTTTATAATATTTTGGAGAGCATATGTCTGTTTTAAGCATTTTTTTAATTCAAAAGGGATTTACTCTGAGGACATAAATCTATCTTCAAGTAAACAAAACTCGAGACACGTCTTGGAAATGAGTTCCAAAAACCTGTAATAATACATCCTCCATAACTTAAAACCATCTTTAAAAAGTTTCACAGGCACAAATCTCACTAATTCCAACTCAACAAACTATAGAGTTTGTTCTAATTTGCCACAGTTAAATAGAAGTAATCTTTCAATTTCTTCGCCCTTGCAATAGTAGATGATGTATCATTCATCCATGGACACATATCTAGAACACCTCTAGACTCAAGTACCTCTCACAACATGTTCTTTTCCTTAAAAATCTCCAGAAGTTCTTCTAACACATTAGATTCCACAAAAATCGAATACAACACACAACTCTGTTCTAGTTATCGCATCATTGCAGGAAAAAAGCGAAACAAATTACCCTGTTCTCATTATGAATGCCAAAGTATTTGTGACACTGTTGCTGTCAGACCACCCTGATCTGTTAGAACTTCTATGAAAAGCGAAACCCAAAAAGTTCACTTAAGGATAAGCACATTTTAAACAACTCTGCTAATTTTAGCCAACCATTCGTCCCATTTAAATTAATTTAACAATCTGAAGTGTGCAATCAAGACTGACAGGAAAACGGAAGGCTGAATTTAAAAAGTGTACCCTTAGTCACTTGTTTTTAGCAGGCAAATAGTCATTTTCCAGACGCGGTGAGGAAAACAAACTACTTTTCCTATTTGCCTGCGACTTCTTAAAGCCCGGTTATATAGAATATTCATATTCTAAGCATGAATTTTCCTTCCGGAAAATCTACCCCAGTCCACATTCTCTAACCCCACAGAGCCACAGTTCCCGGGCAAGCGAATCCACAAAGGATTATTTCCCGTCACATCCAGCATCGTCAAAGGGAAGGCACTGATTCGGCAGCCCAAAGCCTTTGTCCGCACTCCCCGGGGTCAGGTTCCTTCCTTAGCGCCAGGCCAAGTTCTTCGGTGGATCCGATGCCGTCGCCAGGCTGCGCCCGAACGGGCTTTCGCGTTAACCAGGACCGCCCAGCCGGCGTGCCCGCGCTGCCGCGCCCGGGGCAGACACCACCCCAGCTCGCCCCGGACCGAGTAACCGCTCGGCGGAGCGGTCCCGCCACCGCTAAGGACGCTGGCGTGGCAGAGGAGAAATACCTAGGCAATCCCCCGAGCTCCACGGTGAGACCCCTGGGAGGCGCACCGCCCTCATGGAGGCTGACGGGGTGGGAGTAAGCTGCAGCGGGAACGAGCTCTAGCTGGGCTGCGCTCGCGACAGCCGCGCCAGGGCCGCGTCCTTCCCGACTCGGTCACCACCGGCCGTCCCCCTCCTCCCCTCGGCGCCCCCGGGACTGCTTCGCACTAGGCCGCGAGCACACACCGCGGCAGCCGAGGCCACACACAGGCCGGGGCTGGGTGCTCCTCCACCCAGCGGCCTCCACACGGCGGTCAGCGCCCTCAGCCTGCCCCTGAGAAGATGGCGCCCACTCAGCCCGCCCATCGGGACAAACCGACGTATGGTTTGTCTGCCCATGCGCTCCCAACGTAACCAGCTACCCAGGCGCCACGCCGCGCGTGCGCACAGGCCCCGCGCACCGCTAGCTGTGGTCAAGGGAAGGGAATCTGCGTCTTGGGTTGCCGGAGCTTCTGCGCATGCTCAGGTCTTAGCCAATCCGAGAGTCTGAACCCGCAGCCAGGGAAATTCCGAGAAGCGGGTCAACTGGTTGTGATGCAAATCTCAATACACAACTGTAAAAATTCACAGAACAAATGTTTGGTTTTTTGTTTTTGGTTTTTTTTTTTTGCCCTCTAGGTTAAGGAAAGAGATACAAAGGGGGAAAACTGACGATGTCTTTGAGGACAAAGTCTCCAAAGGCATCTTCTGATAAGGCTCCTGAGCGTTATAAAAAGCCACATAAATGTTCACTTTACTGCTTTAGATTTTGGCCAGATATGATGCTAACAACTAGGGGCTTAATAAATATACCCTTAATCAACCTAACAGGCATCAATACGTTGGTAAATACCTTTATAAGTTTGTTTCCATCTTCTGGATTTTTGAAACAAGAAAACGGATAACCACTCCTGAAATTGAGAAATGAAAGAACAATCACAAGCATGTAGTGTGATGCCTGCTCTGTAGTAGTTGGTGACCAATTTAGCGTTTGGTTTGGTTTTATTTGCAAATTACAGTTAGCCCATCGGTGAATTCAAAGCTCACTAAGAAAACAAACTACACTTTTGAGATTTACAGAAAAAAAAAAATGCGTTTTGAATTTCTCTCGTTTCTGTAAAGATCAGGTAGGACACAGGGAGTGAACAAGCAGCAGGTATTTTATTCCGGTTGCAGCCTGGTCCAGCGGGCTCAAACTTAAAAACCTGGATCCCCTGGGAAGTAGCACATACCTTTTATACTAGGCATTGGGTGAGAAGGAAATTTACATATTGATCGGCTATCAGCAAAGTCTTAAAACCAGGCAAATTATTATAAATTTAGAAAAGAAAAACATGCTTTAAAAAATTCTCTGTCTGAAAGTCATTGCAGAAGCATAAGTCTGAGAGGAAGAGAATTAAGGACGTTTCCTCAGAATAGAAGGCAAGTGCTTCTAGCTAGCTGTGTCAGCATTCCAACCACAAACTTGTCAGTTGAACTTTGCTGACAGAGACAGAGAGGAAACCAGGATTAAAATCTTTATTTTCCCTCAGGCTCTATATCACTCTCACTGTAAAATAACATCCAAAATGTTGTGTGCTAAAAAACAAAAGCTAGTGAATAAAAGATTAATTTTAAAAGTACCTGCTAAAATAGGGAAGTATCGCAGAGAGAAATAGGTTCAAAATAAAGTCAATAAAAGATGTTTCTCAGCCATCTTTCCTTGAACAAACTAGTCTCTCTGTGCTTGTTTCCTAATCTAAAATGGGAACAATAGAATCTGCTTCTTAAGGATTGAGAGAAATACTGACAATGTCAAAACATTAAAAGTTCTACTGATTTCTTTGAAATGTCAACTTGATCCATACATTAGGAGAGGATGTCCTGTTAGGCTAGCCTCATTGACTAATTAGCATATGCCTTAATAACCCAGCTTTGGTCCTGGCATTGAGGCTCTGGAGTCTGATCTCAAAAGCTAACATTTATTGAAGGGCTGTGTGTCAGGCCTTCTGCACTCTCATTGTACTCATAACTTCATTCAAATGTAAATACTATCATCTCATCATTTTATATATAAGTGAAAATCAGATATACGGCACTACATAGCTTGCCCAAAGTAACATAATCACAAAAGAAAAATCCAAGGAACCCTGGTGATTGGCTTCCAGAGACCACAGCAGAGAGATTCTGAGCACTAAGGTAGATTTCCTTAAAACAAACATACAATCTATAGCCCAAAATGACCATATTGTCAATATTCAGAGGAAGAAACACTAGCAAAGTTGAAATCAATTCTGATCTTTATATGCTTTCTATAGAAAACCAAATTATCACAGAATTGCTGCTAGCATGGAAACAATATAAATACCTCATCTCAAAAACTGAGTTAGCGGCTGGGCTCACTAAGTATAAAAGCACTTGCCACAAAGACTGACAACCTGTGTTCAAACCTCAGGCCCCTCATACATGGAAGGACAGAACCAACTCCACCAAGTTGTCTTTTGACCTTCCCGTGTGTACCGTGGCATGCACGCACATCATACACATACACGATAATAATAATTTTAATGTGACTGCCTTAGGTTAAAATGACATGTAAGTAGAGGAGGGCTATTAGGAAAGAGGAAGGGGACCATCTAGGGGATAGAGGTGGACAAGAGATGGGAATAAATGAGAATAAATGTGATTCTCAGTTAAAACTGTCTATAGTCATCCTGACCAGTCTTAACAGAAATAACAGTCAAGATTGAATGAGAATTTACTATAAGAGTCACCTGGACAATATGCTCATATTAGACTTTCTCCTGAATAGATTTGACAGGATTCCTAAGGTCTCCCATGTTGCTCTGGGCTGACAATACTTGTTCAGTTCACACAGAATTTTCTTCAAGTAGAACACTAAAGTAAAATGTCATCTCTAGTCTCTCTCGCTTTTCTTGAATGACCATACCATTATAATCTAAAAAAGAAAGTTCTTCTCAAGGTAATTTGAATTTATCCACATAGCATCCTCATTATTTAACAGGTTTTTTTTGTACCTGAACATTTTTTACAAATGGAAAAAAATGATGTATTCAGAACAGCAAAACATAGACCCTAAAATGTGGTAACCACACTGAACTATGGAGATTCTGTGGCTCTCCACCCAAAGAGTTAAGAACAGATGTCCATCCCATAGGATTGCTGAATGAATGTCTCAAAAATCACTGGACTCCCTGCCAAGGCGGATTGACTTTCTGAGTTCTCATATAGGTGGTGCTTCCTGATGATTGTACCTCTCTCTATTCAGTTTATACTTTGTAAGAGCCATAGACTTCCAGTTTGAACCACTTCATCAAGTACAAACCTGGTACATATCAATTTCTGCTGTATTTTTCTTCTAGTTTGCTTTCAATTGCTATGACAAAACACTCTGACCAATAACAACTTAGGGAGGAAAGGGTTTATTTGGCTTACATCTCCCAGTCACACTTCATCAGGAAGCCCAAGGTAGGAACTCAGGGCAGGAGCCTAGAGGCAGGAGCTGAAGCACACTCAGGGAGGAACGCTGCTTACTGTCTTGCTCCCTTCTGCCATAGACTTTTATACGGGTTGCCATCAGAAAGTAATGCCCACATTTAGGATGGGTTTTCCAGCTTCAAATGATCCAATCAAAGCCTCTCTCATTTCAGTTAATGCAAAATCCAGTAAAATTGACACCCAGGATTAGCCATCACAACCTCCCTATTTAAGTAGGCAACTAAATTACCTGCATCTTCTCTCCAAACTGTTCACCTCTACTCCAGGAATTCCAGATCTCTATTTTTTGTTGGTAGTGTTTGTTCATTTTTGTCTTTTTGAGACAGGATCTCCCTGTAGCCCCAGCTGGCCTGGAACTCGCTATGTAGACCAGGCTGGATTCAAACTCACAAAGATCTGCCTGTCCCTGCCTCCCAAGTGCTAGGATTAAAAGCGTACACTACCATACCTAGCTTATTGTGGTTTACTTTTGCAGGCTAGACCTGAGACCACTGTTTTCAATCTCCATGTCATTTCTCTTCCAGTAACCCACTATGTCTTTTCAAATCATTTCCTATTTGTGCCAGGCATGGTGGCTTATGCCTTTGATCTGAGGAAGCAGAGGCAGGTGGATTTCCAAGAAATAGAAGCCAGCCTGGTCTGCATAGCGAGTTCCAGGCCAGCCAGAGCTACATAGTAAAATCATCCCTCAAAAAAAAAAAAAAAAAAACTTAATTGTATTCATGCTTGACTTCTCTTCATCTCACCTCTCTTCTTAAAAAAGAAAAAGAAAAAGAAAAAAAATATATACCAGCAGGTAAAGCAATTTTGAGTTTTTGTATGTATGAGTGTTTGGCTGTGTGTATGTATGTGCACCTGTGGGTAAGTGTCCATGGAGGCAAGAAGAGTGCATCAGATCCCCTGGAACTGAACAAGTTATAGTTGGTGGTAAACTGCTATGTGGATGTTAGGAACCAAACTCAGGTTCTCTGCATGAGTCATAGGTGGTCTTAACTGCTGAACCATCACTCCTGCCCCTTTCCTCTTTTCTTTCAGGCCCTTAGAAAGAATGAATCTCGCCCTGTGAAATTCCTTCTCCTGTTCTTCCATCTCAGTCCTTCACCCACTTTCTGAACAGTATGTATTTGGAATCTCTGTTCTACTGTTTCTTCTCCGCTTACAAATATATTGCCCTTATTCTTAAAAAATTGTTTAAACTCTTTTGTTCAGTCATTTGTTTTGCCTGTCTTTCAATGCCAGATTTCTTAAAATAATTTTCATCTGTTCCTGCTTATGTCTCATCATTGCTGTCTGGCTTCTTCTGCCCCAAACAATGTAATGAAACTATACTCCTAAAGGTAGCAAATGACTAATTGAGCTGCCAGGTCCAAATACTATTTCTCCATTTTCAGTCTTTTTGAAGTGTTAAGAGGCACAACATTTTGGGTAAGCAACTCCTACAGCTAAATTGACAGAATCCAAAGTTTATTTCTGAAAATTGCAAGCAGAGAATTTTAAAAACTCTCAAAATTATTTTTATTGAATTTTTGTGGAGTTCATACAATACATTTTAATCACATTTAGTCCCCCTTCCCTGTCTGCACCTCCCCATATCTCACACACAGGACTTCCTGCATTTTGTTATATATGTTCAGGCCTATCCAGATTTGCATCCCCACCTGCCCCTCAGTATGAGTTCATCTACTACAATCTGTTCAGCCTGTCTAGCATCACTCCCTTAAAGAAGATCAACTCTCCCTCATCCAGCAGTGATCATTTGCCAATAGTTCTTCACCAAAGTTGTAGCCTCCTGCCCATTTCCCAAGTTCTATACCGGATTTTTGTCTGCTTGAGTTTGCATGTGTCTTACACATGCTGACACCATTGCTGTGACTTCATTTGAGCCAGTTCCCAGGAGCCTATTACACTCTCTATCCCTATAGTCATGCACTTCCTCCCCTGGCTCTTACAATCTTTCTGCAACCCTCTCCTCTTCTGCAATGGTCCCTAGGTGGATGTTGTTTAATAGAAGAGTCCTATCCAAGGATTTACACTCTTTTTTCCCTCCACACTTTGGCCAGTTGTGTCCTTTTGTGTTCATCTCCCTGTGTTGCATGAGAAAGCTTTGTTGCTGAGAGTTGAGAGATACATTAGTATTCTCTCTACCCCTGTTCCACTATGTTCAAGGAGCCTTAGGTATAGAGGTTTCATTGTAGATGTGTCACTTAGGTTTGGGCATTTTACAGACACTTATTCTCTGTGTGTGACCAGTTGTGGAACTCTGTAATGCTTCTATCTGCTGCAAAAGAAGTTTCTTTAATGAGTGGTGACTGGCATATTAAGTAACTTTTTTATGTGTCTTTTTGAAATAGGGTCTCCCTGTAGCCCCAGCTGCCCTGGAACTCACAAAGATCCACCTACCTCTGCCTCCCAAGTGATGGGATTAAAGGCATGTGCCACCACGCCTAGTTTATATTAAGTAATTTTTAATCTCTAATTTTTGCCTCCACTTAATAGAAAGGTGATGGTTTGTAAAAGCTGGTGATAGATTAGTTTTGATATTGTAAGAATAGAGTTCAATATTCACCTCACACTACATAATTCAGTGGCATGTGTTATCCTCTTTGAATCCATTCTCTTTCTTTGGTACACTTCTCTAAGCTGTCCTTAAGCCATGCTCCCCTAGTCTCTCCCACTTTCATGAATAATGTTGCTAATCGGTAATATTAAACATGCCCCTAAGCCTGGTAAATGAAGATAACTGTACTGCCTGCTCAAAGTTGTTACCAAGATTGAAAAGATTTCTCCATGTAAGGAATTTAGCACCAGGTATAAGTATTTGCTTTCTTTGATTAAGGAGACAGGAAACATCTGCTGTGCAGCTCCTTTTCTTAGTCCTGACTTAAACTTGAAGGTTTATGTCTGGTATATGGCAGCCACACTACAATTAAGAGGGCTAAACCTAGACTTTGAGCAAACAACAACCACATACCTTCAGACTTATGCTTGTTTTTATTTAAGCTATTTTGAATTGGTTTAAGCTTCACAGCCTTCAGTTACTTGCCATAAAAATGTTCCTAGTGATAACAATCTCAAATGACTACTTAATGGTTTTAGTTAACATTCTTTTATAATGTTCCTATAGCCAGTTAAAGCTACAGTATGTAGTTAACTCAAACTTAACTGTGATTGTTTGAGTTCATGTACTACAGATAAACTCTGTTATTGGAAGGAATTTTGTTAAATGCAGTAACCGAACGTGTCAGACAATTATAATTCCAATGAATGGGCCGGGCATGGTGGTGCTTGGTTTTAATCCCAGCACTTGGGAGGCAGAGGCAGGCTGATCTTTGTGAGTTTGAGGCCAGGCTGGTCTACATAGTGAGTTCTAGGCCAGATGGACTTACAGGAAGACCCTGCCTCAAAAAGACAAATAATAAATAATAATTCCAGTGAATGTGGTCTGTGATGGCAGTGTCACTTTGTTAGCTAAAAATAACTCATGTAGAATATTTCGTAGAGTAGCCATGTAATGCAATGAAAAGATAATCAGGTTTTGGAGTTGGACAAATAAAGATAAATTTTCGTTTTATCACCACTTAAATTTTGCCGTTTTTGATACTCCCATTTCCATTTTTCTAAAATATAGGTAGTACTTCCTCCAAAGGAAGGAAGGTTGTTATGTAAATTTAAGACAAAAATTGTCTTAAGCACAGTGGAAATTGTGGGACCATTGTGAGTGGACCATTTTTATCCTTTTAATTATACTGTAGTGGCAATAAGTAAATATCATTGTGTTCATCCCCTCCATAGAGCAGTAACAGTATGTACTTCAAGGAAAACTAGTTAGAACTAGCCCATAGGGAGGGCTGGAAAGATGGCTCAGCAGTTAAGAGCATTGACTGTTCTTAACAGGGGCTCGTTTTTGGTTCCAGCACCCACATGAAAGCTAACAACCTCTTGCCCCCATAGGCACTGCCCTACACAGGTGCTCTTACATACATACAGGAGAAATACTCATACACATAAAATAAAAATACAAGAACTTAAAGATGTATCCAGAGAAGTCCTTTTTAGACCAACACAAAATAATTTACTTAGAAGCATTTTTAAAAGAAAATCTCTTTGGGGAACAGTAAGCTCTTGGGGGAACAGAGCATGTATCTCTTTTGTCATATATTTTAGAAACTGGATCAAAGTTGGTCTTTTGAGGCAGGCCTGATAGGAACTAAAAGTTATCTACCTTCCTTAGATTAATTTCCCATATGCATTGAAAATATATACACTCTTTGATAAGGGTACTTTCACCACCAGTATCATGAAATTTTCACTTTTCTGAGAAAAGAAGTCATGGCAAGCTACTACTGGTAAATAAGGTAAGCTAAAAGTATGCCCAGTAGTTTTATTGGGGAAAACATAAATAGTTGGGAAATTTTTAAAAAATGAAAAAAAAAGAATAACAAAATACAAGTATCTAAACAGTGAAATAGAATTGAGGTCAAAAATTAAGTTTTTTTTTAAAAAAAACTTAAGATATAAACTAGGTATGAATATGCAGTGACAAGGTATTCTTGACAAGGAGCTTCAGGGAGGTCTAACCTTGAAAGACAGCATCCTTGTGTGTGTACATTTTATTTTAAAAATGATTGTGATGATCTTATTTTAGTTAGATACATGATGTTCTATGCACAAAGAAAGAAGAAAAGGTCTAGTAGGAAAGAGGTTTTCCCTAGTATTTTGTCACAGTAATATTCTAGTATCACATATATTAAATAAATGGGAGTTTTATTTGTTTTGCCTGATAAGAATCAATTCCAGGGCCTGGCTCATGGCTGGCAATTGTGCTATCACTGAGACACAACCACAACCCTCACTGGGATTTTTTTTTTTTTTTTTTTTTTTTTTTTGTCTGTGAGACAAGGTCTCCCTGTAGCCCCAGCTGGCCTGGAACTAGCTTTGTAGACAAAGCTGGCCTTGAACTCACAAGGACCCGCCTGCCTCTGCCTCCCAAGTGCTGGGACCAAAGGTGTGGGTCACCAAGCCCCTCAGTGGGATTTAAAATAAATTATTTTAATTTTCAAAATATATGCCATAGCTACATTCTCGTGAAAATTATACTGGCTGGCAAATTCTCATGGTGCAACCTAAGGGACTTTTGGTATTTGAAGGCTGCTGGGAAGCGGAAAAACAGTGTCTTACCGGATGGGACTTTTGGTGGGTCCAGTGGATGGACCCACACTGAGGCACACTTTGGAGAATTAATATGAGTTCATTAAATTGAGTGGCAGGGCAGTGGGAGAAGGCGCGGATCTAAAAACCATCAAATTATATTGTGTGACAATCGCAAAAATTCAATAAAAATAGCTTTACACTCGCACACACAAATTCTCGTGTTTCATTTAACGCTTTTCATGAAACAATACTTTTATGTAGTGTAACCAGCTACTTTTCATAGTTATGGTATCGTTCCTTGACACCTTAAATTGACTGCATTTTAAACTAAAAACCTGTGTCTCAGAGTTCAAATACGTCTTAAATAGCCACTACACTCCCTGTTGAGTTGGCCTCTAATCCATCTTTTCCCGCGTGGTTGGTAACCTTGAGTTGGCCTCTAATCCATCGTTTCCCGCGTGCTTGGTAACCTAGCAACCAGTCCGGGGTTGGCGGAGATTTCCGCAACTGTGTTGTCCAATCAGCTCAGCAGTGTCGTCGCAAAGGCTGGTGGGGGAAACTAGCGACTGAGCGGTCGCGGGTGTGGGTACCATGGCGACGCGTGCCAGGGCTGGGGAGAAGATGGCGGTCAGGTCCCGCTCCTCCGTAGGTGCTGGAACTGCATTCCTCTTCTTGGTCCTCTACCGCATCTCACCGGCCCAAACCTTCTCCTTCCCTCTCCAGCAGCCGCAGAAGTGCGGACACAACCAGTACTTCGATATCTCGGCGCTGTCCTGTGCCCCGTGTGGCGCCAACCAGAGGCAGGATGCCCGAGGTGAGAGGTTTGGGGGACCCTGACCAAAAGCGCGTGCCAGTTAGTCCTGGATCTCGTCCGAGCAACGTTTCCTTGGAGGGTTGCAGTGTGCACAGTGATGAGGTCGGGGAGCCCTGGCCTCAGTACCCAGTCACCCAGCACCAGGAATTCATTTCCAGGGGTCAGTCTCCTCCCTCTCATGGCTGTGGAATCTCCAGGGTAGGCCCTAGAAAACTGCCTACCAAAGTTAGAAAAGCCATAGTAGAGAAGGTGCAGAGTTAGGTGCCACGACAGGAGAGAGCGAGGGATGTGAATTAGCATCTAAACGCTGATGGCCCTGTCCGCATAAGGAACTATTTTAACTATGACAGGCTCTTTGTACTCATAAGGATCTTGAAGTCCAGATGTTGTGCCATCTGTATCACATAAAGTGAGGGCTGAGAGGACTCTGGTCTCCTTTCCCTCAGTCTCCATCTATGTATTTCCAGTGTACGGTTTTGCCTGTGGTATTCAGATTTTCTTAGGACCTATCCCTTTTACAGCTGAATGTTTCTGACTGCTCTTAAAGTCTTTTAGACTTAGCTTAATTTTTCTCCAAAACTGTGCATCAGTTAGTTCTAGTTCTCACCGAAACTTCCCAGAGTGAGTCTTCCTGTGTATTAAAGTTTAAGATATTGTCATTCTCAATTTAGTCTTTCGTGGGATTAGTTTGCTTCCATCTTCAGATCTGACACATCCTCTCTTAGTCACTAATATTAGTACAGATCAGGCTGTTCAGATAAGGAAATATGATGAGAAAACTTGCTGTGAGTTGTAAGATATTCATAATTAGGAATGGAGGTGTGTGTGCTGTACACATAGACACCAGTGGGTGCTGTTCCAACCTAATGGCTCCTTAGAGAATTCTGACCCTACTTATACAGCAAATTGAATAGTAATTACCCTACAACATCTACTCTCCAAACAAAGGGTAATAGTGATTATTTGAGTGAAGGTATCTATCCTAATAAGATAGTGACAAATAAAATGTAATTCCTATAGCAAGTAAGTAGTTTTAATCGTTTAATAATAACTGCAATTAAAATAGTAGCAGCACAGGGCCAGCTGTGTGCCAGACATATTTCTAAGGATTTTGCATATATAATGAATTCAATAGTCAGTCACCCTGTGAGGAAGGTACTTACTCAGTAAACACACACACATGAGAGAGAGAGAGAGAGAGAGAGAGAGAGAGAGAGAGAGCTAAGAAGGAGAACTGAATTTGGAACCCAACGATTATGTTTCTAGACTTGAATCCAAGCAGCGCTGACCCTCAGAGTTTTGTCATGGAACACCATATAAGACTGCTCCTCAAAAAATGTATTTTAAAAAATTTTTTGAGGAAAGTTCTCGTGTATCCCAGGCTGCTCTCCAGCTCCCTGCATAGCTGCAGATGATCTGGAACCCTGACCTTCCTGCCTCTACTTCCCAAGTGTTGGAATTATAAGAATACACCACCACTCCTGGCTGTGGGAATTTAAGAACTATTAAAAGGCTTCTTTCTTGTCTTGGGGTTTTATTTTATTTACCAAGGATAAAGTTGGCTCTTTTCTTTTTAGGAACTTCATGTGTGTGTCTACCAGGATTTCAAATGGTCTCTAATAATGGAGGACCTGCCATTATTTGTAAAAAGTGCCCAGAAAATATGGTATGAAAAACTTATTTTAAAATAACTTTCATGGAGAAAGTAATAAATGTTATTATCTTTCAAACTTCAATATACTATTTATCATTTCTCTACAAACTTTAGTTATTAAGCAAACTTTATATTTATTAGACTACATCTTGTGAGATCACTGAAATTATTTTTATTTTATGTGTATGAGTGTATTGCCTGCATGTATGTAAGTGCACTCATGCAATGCCCGTGGAGGTCAGAAGAGTGCGAAATTATGGACAGTTGCCAGCTGCCGTGTGGGTTCTGGGAATCGAACCTGGATCCTTTGCAAGAGCAGCCAGTGCTCTTAACCACTGAGCCATCTCTCAACTCCCAAGATCAATGAAGTTTTATGAAAACTTGGGGAAAAAAACAGAAATGTATTTGTTAATAGTATTTAAATCTGAAATCCAAAACTACAAAGCTATGAAAATTTATATTTTTATTTTTTCTCATAAAGTAACTCAGTTGTAAAGAAAAGATGAGCAATGCACACGTAGAGCGATTGGAGCTGTAATACTCTTTGATAAATTGAGTTCAATCTCTTAGACCTACTGTGTCAATAGTTTTACTTGATGATTGCTATGCATAATGTTATGCCAGGTGAATAAGTTTATGTAATTCCAGTTACATCAAATAGAGTTAAATAATACTTTATAGTTTTGGTAGTCTCTTCATTATAAATAATTTGTGGAAAATTAGTAAATTTATAGTTGCTCTGCAAACTAATTCTCAATTAATAGAAATATATTTGCTAATCACTTGGGCTAATTAGGAGTCTCTATTAACAGGATTTTTATATTAATATTGTTTTGCATTCTTATATTAAAAAGTTAAACCTTAGTATTTACCAGTTATCAACAAACTGTTCATTCTATAGGTCTGACTAAAGTCTTCATGTTTTTGGAAGTATTCATCCTGACTGGATTACTGTTAATAAAAGACTGCTAATAAAAAAGTTTATTTTGCAGTGACATTATGTAAGCTACTGCAATTTTTAATAATGTCATATAAACATGACAGATAAGCATTTCTTAATAAGTTCATCCTCTTCAACAAAATTTAAAATAATTTATTTAATTATTTTGGTTCTACCATTATTCTCTGTTAATTTCAGTTATAACTATATTTATTTATTCTTGGGGCTGGAGAGATGGCTTAGCAGTTAAGAACATTGGATGTTCTTACAGAAGACTAGTCGAATCGCAGCACTCACATGACAGCTAACAACTGTCCATAACTCCAATTCCAGGTGATCTGCCAGCCTCTTCTGTCCTCCATGGGCATTGCATGACACAGGTGCACTTACCTACATGCAGGCAATACATGCATACATATAAAAATATTAAAATAATGAAATATTTTTTAAAAAACATTTATTTTTATTCTATATGTATGAGTGTTTAGTCTGTGTGTATGTGAGTACACTACATGTATTCAGTGCTCTCGGATGCCAGAAGAGGACATCAGCTCTTCTGGAACTGGAGTATTAGGTGGTTGTTAGCCACCGTGTGGGAGCTAGGAATAGAACTCGGGTCCTTTGCAGGAGCAGCCAGTGCTCTTGACTGCTGAGCTGTCTCCAGCTCCTGTAACCATATTTTTGGTTGTGGTATTACTCCAGGTTTTTGTCTAAACCACACAATATAAGAAGTTCAGTTCTTCATGATGTCAAACTTCATCAAAAAATGTGCTAGTACAATTTATAATTAAAGGAAATAATCTCATGAATCAATTTAGTAACTTTATATATAATTGATACACCATAGAATTCACCCATTTGGAATCTTTTAAAATTTAAAAGCTTTTAAAATTTAAAAGCTAATAAACATGAATTTTTAAAAATTAGATTAGCGGGGCTGGAGAGATGGCTCAGTGGTTAAGAACACTGACTGTTCTTGCAGAAGACCCGGGTTCAAATCCCAGCATCCACATGGCAGCTAACAACTGTCCATAACTCCAGTTCCAGGGGATCCGATAGCCTCTTCTGTCCTCCGTGGCCATTGCAGGACACGGATGAACTTACCTACATGCAGGCATAACACTCATATACACAAAATAAAAATAATAAAACATCTTTTAAAAAAAAATTAGATTAGCGAAGACTAAACTGATAACTAGCTTTCTGTTGAACAGACTCTATTGGGTTTCATTGTCTTTTATATTTGTAAATGGAAATTTTGAGAAAATCGATTTTTAATTCATCTGCTCAATTAAGAAGAAAGTTAGAAAGAAAACCAATTGCTTTTTAAATTAATTTAGAAAGGTGTTACCAAAGATGGCTGGAACTGTATTTCTTGCCCTAGTGGTTTAACTGCTGAAGGAAAATGTTACTGTCCTACTGGTCACATATTAGGTAAGAATAACTTATTTATGCAATAGTGGTGATGAGCTAGGTGTGGTAGTGCAAGCCTTTAATCCCAGCCCTCGGGGTAGGCAGCGGCAATCAGATCTCTCTGAGATCTTGGCCAGCCTGGTCCCTATAGTGACTTCCAGGCAGACTGGGGCTAGGGAGACCCTATCAAACAAAACAAATAAAACAGTGAAATAGTGGTGATAAATTTTTATTTGTGTTTATTTGGTAAAAGACATTAATTTAAATGGCCTGGTGGTTACTTAGTATTATTTTTTTTAAGTTTTATGGTGCAAAATTTAATGATGCTTAAGATAGGCATTAAGGAGAAAATTTAAAAATTCTTTCTAATATAAGATTAAATGTATCTTCCTTTAATATAACTATATCTATATAGTATATATCTATACTTCAACTCAAAAGCCAACATGATTCTTGTTTTTAAAGTTTTTGAATTACTATTTATTTATTTATTTATTTATTTATTTATTTGTATGTGTGTATGCCCACCTGTACAGGTGGGTGGCCATGTGCACAAGACATGCCTGTCAGAGAACAACTTTTGGGAGTCGGTTCTCTCCTTCCACTATCCTAGGGCTCAAACTCAATTGTCAGGCTTGGCAGCAAGTGCTTTTCCCCTCTAAGCCATCTCATTTGTGATTCTTTTTTTAAAAATTTTTTTATATTTTATTTATTATTTTTATTTTATGTGTATGTGTGTATTGAGTGCACCTGTGTCGTGCAGAGCCCAAGGAAGACAGAAGAGGCTGTTGGATCCCCTGGGACTGGAGTTACGGACAGTTGTTAGCTGCCACCT